AAAAAAAAAAAAAAAGCTCAGGAGGCCTGGTATTAAGGTATGAAATTTGGAACCAGACTGATGTGTGTTCAAATCTTCAACAGCCGTTTATTAGCTGTGAAACCTTGGACAGGTTGCCTCACCTCTTTGAGTCTAATGAGAAAGTGCAGTTATCTCCAACTTCATAAAGTATTAGAATTAAATGAGATAGTATATGTACAGGGCCACGAGTGACTGGGGCCGGAATTTGTGTTTAGTAATTGTGGGTACTCTTTCTCTTGTTTCTGTAGTACTTGGGCCCTTTGTTTACAAGGAACAGATTTGCTGCCACTACCTTAAGAAAAAGGAGATTTATTATAAGGCTACTCCTAACCTGGAACGACCTTAGCTCTAGAAACCGCCTACTCTCTCATTGGCCATAAGGTGCCTCCTTGTCCTTGAAACAAAAATGCAGATTCTTTTTGGGCCATAAGGCCTTGCATGATCTGGTCCCTGCCGTCTTTTTTACATCCCCTCACACTAACTACTCTTCAGCTGCACTGGCTTCAGAAATGCCTGGAAGCTACATCTATTGCCAGTCCTCCTCCTTTTTTTCCCTTTTTCTCCCCAAAGCCCCAGTAGATAGTTGTATGTCGTAGTTGCACATCCTTCTAGTTGCTGTATGTGGGACGCGGCCTCAGCACGGCCGCGGTGCGTTGGTGCACGCCCGGGATCTGAACCCGAGCTGCCAGTAGCGGAGTGCGCACACTTAACCGCTAAGCCACGGGGCCGGCCCCTCAAATGACAATATTATTAAATTGAATTTGAATGCCTCCAGGCTACACATGCGTTCCAATTCCTGCAGTCCTCACCACTCTGTTATTAAACCAGTTACTTCATTCATTTGTTATCTTTGATCTGTTGCTACCACATAATTATGGTGATTTCTTTCATAAGAGTGCATCATTATTCCCAGTACGTGTAATACTAACTTTAATTATCTTTCTTTCCGGTGTCTATATTATGCAGAGCTGTGCTGTACAATGTGGTAGCCACTAGCCACATATGGCTGTTGAGCACTTGGAATGTATGGTTAGTGCAACTTGAGAAACTGAATTTTAAATTTTATGTAATTTTAATTATTTTAAATTTTAAAGCTTGATAATTGATTCAATTATTGGAAACTTTTAAATATGCTTGGAACAATTTGAGTATGTGAATTGACTCTTTTCAGTCGAAAATTTTATGAAGGCTAAATATAGATCTAGTATTTCCAATGAAAATTTAGTATCCAAATTGATAGGTGCTGTGAGTATAAAATATACAATATGAAATGTAAAATATCTTATTAACGTTTTTTATACTGATTACATCTTGAAATGATAATTTTTTTGATATGTTGGGTTAAATTAAATGTATTATTAGAATTAATTTTACTTAACGCATTTTTACTTTTAACACAGCTACTAGGAAATTTTAAATTACATATGCGACTTGCTTCCTATTGTAAAGGACAGTTGCGTCAGACTCTAACTTGGTGAAGGTAGGGACCTCTCTCATGTTTGCCAGTGCATCCAGTGCCTAGCATGCTGTCCAACACACTGCGCTTGTTAAATGTGTGTTTGTGGGACAGATGTGATTGACTCAGCTTAGTCAGTTGTTTCTGTTCTCTTATAACACTGGCTTATACCTGACTTTTACCTTATGCTTCCTCAGCTAACCAGCAAATTCTCTTAATATTTCTTAGTTCAAGTTTAACCACCTAATTTCTTTTCTTTCACTTAATTGTATACTTAATTAACTGGAAGTGAATCATCTTTTCTTGAAAGTAAGCTAGAAGTTTTTGACAGATTTCTGATGCCTGAGTGATAATCCTTCCCAATACATGAATTGGTCTTATCAGTCTCTCCTAGCTTCGAAAATTATTTGATTTATTGTAAGCAATTTCCATTGCCTTCAGATGCATTTCCTAGCACAGGACAGGCAGTCTTCTGTGTACATTATAACTTTGTTTCAGGTCTAGGTCATAGTGCAACCTTTTAAAAATACATTTTAAGTAACGATTAGGATGCAAATATAAATTAAAATATAACTAGGTATGATGTAAATAATTCAACTGAGGTAATGTGACCATTAACAGATACTTTCTGTATATAGCTAGATTCCTATGTTTCAGATGATAAGAGCCATATCACAAGTGTCTGGATTTTCATCGTAAGAGCCACCCTTGATTTCAGTGATGTTTAAACGTGAGAAAATAAATGGAGACCTGAGGAATAAGTGGGGTTGTCAGGCAAAGAGCAAGGGGGAGCAACCAAAGAGCACTTGGTTCTGTGGTGTGGGTTCATGTCAGGGAGGGCTTCTCATAAGCAGGTCTATTTGAGCTGGGCTTTGACGTGAATGGGAATCTGTGGGGGAATAGTGAGGATGGGAAGAATATTTTAGGCACAAGTAAAGATGAACTCTTCACATTGGGATCTAAAAAAGAATATCATAGACGTCTTACCCTTTTTTGACCCACAGTTCAGTTTTCTCTGACCTTTAGGCTGATGAATTCATCCGAGCAAATGCCACCAACAAGCTGACAGTCATAGCCGAGCAAATCCAGCATTTGCAAGAACAAGCCAGGAAGGTAAGTATGGCTTTTAGGCAGGCTTTCATTTTCTTCATTCAGTTCACAGGATTGACTGAACTTGCTTATAATCACGGTAGCTTATTTGTCTTCAGTACCTCCTAGAAATATAGAGGTGTTGGGTGAGATAGAATAAGCCCAAGAGGTTAAGTATAAGTTTTTTCACTGGGAGAAAGTTTAGTGACATAAAGCATTTTGGAGGAAAGATGTTTTCAGTTTTAAGAGATATGTACTTACTATAGAAAAATAGGAAAGAAATTTAAAAACCACTCAAAGCCAGTAGTACTCAACACTTTGAAATACAATTCTTCTAAAGGCATTTTTGCAGCATAGTAGCATAGTCTAATTTTTGTCTCTTCAGAATCATCTGGATCCCAGTAGTGATTCATTGCTATGGGGGAGCAGTATCCTAAGCATTGAACAGTTTCAGATTTTGATCGGGATGATCGATGAATATGAGTACCTGTTACCTCCAATACCTGATTTGTTACATCTGTGGTTCTTAGGTTTTGGAAGATGCTCACAGAGATGCTGACTTGCACCATGTAGCTTGTAATATGGTGAAAAAACCTGGCAACATTTACTACCTTTATAAACGGGAGAGTGGTCAGCAGTATTTTTCCATTATTTCTCCAAAGGTAAGAACATTTGTTTTTCGCACAAAAATCTGTTCTAGTCTTTGAGAAATTCTTGGTGTGTGTATGTGAAAATGTAAGCATAGGGCTTGGTAAATGGTTTCCTAGAAAATTGGAGGTGGTGTGAGTCCAGATATGACTCTAAAAAATATACATGTGCTTAAATTATTTCACAGTCATTATCTCTGTTAAGGGAGGTATCTGATGTATATTGTAATACTTTCTAGGGCTGATTCTGACTGGTTTGAAGTGAAAAGCAAAAAAAGAAATTTGTGGCATAATTAGGAAATGGGCTTAGTTTCTTTACTGCCTACCCTGATCAGAACTGACTCCTTTGCCTTCTCTAGGAATGGGGGACAAGTTGTCCACATGACTTCCTTGGTGCCTACAAGCTACAGCATGACTTGTCCTGGACTCCATATGAGGACATTGAGAAGCAGGATGCTAAAATCAGCATAATGGACACGTTGCTAAGCCAGCCAGTGGCCCTGCCTCCAAGCACTGAACTCAACTTCCAGGGACTGACTCACTGAGAGTAGACTCTGACAAACAGCTCTCGATGGCAAGGACCTGTCACCTGGTTGTCCCCATTCTCTGCCTTGATGGGAGGTGGCATGAGAATTGAGGACATGTAGGTGAATCATGAACTTCTTGGAAGGAGACCCTGTGTGAATGTAAATGCTGTCATTATTATTACTTTTAGTTGGGCTGGTAATGAATCACATCACTCTATTTTGGGATCCTCTCTGGGTCACAGATACCAGAGCACCAACCAGTCAGTTTCAGAGTACTGGCCAGTGTACTTTCCTTCTCCTTTATCTCCATCTATTCTCCCCATAAGTCAGAGCAGTAGAGAAAGAAGAGTTTCTTCTTCCCACAAAAAGGTTGGCGAGTCATTTTCCAGAGAGGACTGTTTTTAGTCTTTTTGTAATTGGAAGTGTTTAAGATTGGAGTTGAGGCTATTTAATAGTGCGACTCCAGCTTCAAATTCATCTGGGAACAAGAATGTTGGATAATGGAGGATGATAAACAGCTAGGCTTGGCTGGACTAGAGAGTGTGTGATTCTGGTATTTCTGCACTATTTATGAGGTTTGGCTTGTCCCTTCTGCTCTTTCTGCCTAGCTAGAGTGACTGGAGAATCTGAGGCAGCAGCAGTTGCCAGGATTTGGGAAGGTCAGCCTCTACACTCTAAAACTTAAAGAGGGGCTGGCCCTGTGGCCTAGTGGTTAAGTTCAGCACGCTCCACTTCGGCGGCCCGGGTTCAGTTCCCGGGCGTGGACCTACACCACTCAGTGGCCATGCTGTGGTGGCGTCCTACATACGAAATAGGGGAAGATTGGCACAGATGTTAGCTCATGGCTGATCTTTCTCAATAAATAAATAAATTAAATAAAACCCTAAAGAATTTTAGACTTGGAAGAGATGTTGGAGGCTGCCACTAACCATTGTATGAATTTACTCTATAGCCTCGCTGAGGAGGAGATCCAGAGTTCAGCCATCTGCAGCAGGAAAAATCCATTTAAATGGCATCTTTAAAATATTGTGGAAGAGAGAATAGGAGAGTGGGTGAGAAACAAGAAAAATGGCCAACCTGTTGATTGTGAGTTAACTCAGATTGAAACTAATTTTGATCTGAATTATTCAAGAACTTAAAAGAGGCTTTTTGGCTGAGTTACTCTAGTTCTGATTCCGTCTGGACTCTTGTGGACTCTACCTCACTTCCTGTTTGTTCAGTGGAATTAATCAAATTTATAGCATATCCAGCATGGCTGTACTTCCTTCAGTGCCATATAATCTATCACGGTGTGCTCTAAAAGGAGAGATATGTACTTGAAACCACAGTCGCCCAAGTTCCTTCTGGGGATGGATGTCTCGTACTGATCTGCTTGGTAATACTGTAACCGCATCCTGGTGTTCATGGCCTTTCCTTATAAGCTGTGCTCTTTGTGAGCTGTAAATGGTCTGCAAAGGCTTAGCACAGGATGGGGCTAGACCCTGACAAGGTCACCCAGGTGATACTTGGTCACTCATTTTACGGGGGAGCGCTCTGTGGAGTCAGCTGCAAAAGCCTCCGACTGGGATGTGGGCCACTCACACACATGCTCACACAGTAGTGGTACAGTAGTTGATTCTGACTACAGAAAGTTTCCCAGGTTTTCAGAAGCTTCTGACCTGCATGATAATGACACATTTTGAGTAGGTGCTTTATTAGTTATCTATTTCTGCATAAATTACCACAAACTTAGTGGCTTAAAACAGCATACATTTATTATTTCATAGTTTCCATGGGTCAGGAGTTCAGGCACACTTGAGTGGGTCCTCTGCTTCAAGGTTTCTCACAGGACTGCAATCAGATTATTGGCCAGAGCTGGGTTCTCATCTGAAGGCTTGATTGGAGAGGGATCTGTTTCCAGGCTCATTTAAATTGTTGGCAGAATTTCTGTTCCTTAAGTGTTGTTGGACTGAAGTTGTTGATTCTGTTTACTAACAGTCTATTAACCAGAGGCTGCCCTTAGTTCCTTGCCACATGGGTCTACCCAACATGGCGACTTTCTTCATCAGAGCCAACAAGGATAAGATTCTGCTAGCAGGATGGAAGTTACAGTCATGTAGTCTAATCACGGGAGTGACATCTCATACCTTTGCTGTATTCTGTTGATAAGAAGCAAATCACTAGGCCAGCCTATAAGCAGTGCAGGGAATTACACAAAGGCATGAATACCAGAAGGCAGAAATCATTGAATCATCGAATAGATCTTAGAATCTGTCTGTCACAGTGCTCAGTTGAGAGGGAGAAAGGAGGGTCCTGGGTAAAAGAGGCAGTATTATAAAGTGGTTCAACGTGGTGGCATTGATGCCACAGATCTGGACTTGACTCACAGCTCTGACAAAATAGCCCCCTGCTGGCATCCCTGCTTCCTCCTCTATCTTCTCTCCGATCCATTCTGCATACAGTCATCAGCTTGATCTTTTGAAAATGCAGATCTCCTTCACTCTTGATATTTCCTAACCACTGGAGCAGACGAGAGTAGTGATTCAAAAGAAAACTTCTGTTCAATAAGGGGTGGTCCCTGTACTGACTACAGGCAGTGCCATTGGTCTTTCCTGCTTAAGCCAGTTGCCAAGCTTAGGGAAAGTTCGTGGCAATGTGAAGTGATTTTGGAGGTAGCATCTTAGAAGGGGGCACTAGGACCCATTGATTATATACACCCATCTACCCATGCAATAATTTCATAAGTATTAAGTGCCTTCTAGATTCCAGGTTCTGGAGAATAACACAGCTGAGTAAGAGAGGCCTCTGTTTCCAAGGAGCTCACAGTCTAGTGAGGGAGAAACTAAATCAACGATTACGATATGGAATAAGAAGGGCTATGATAGAGGTATTGGTGGGATATCATGGAGCTCCGTGGAGGGGCACCTAACTCAGCTTGGAGAATTTGGCAAGACTTCTTGGAGGAGCTGACACCTGCTTAGGTGTTGAAAAATAAGAGAGCTCGTTTGGAGGCTCTAACTGTTCTCTCTATAGGAAGGTTGTCTTTGGGGTTTGGGGTAGGGTTCACTTTTGAATGGAGTTCATTTGTGAATGAAGAAAGGGATATCCACTTATCAAGCCATATCAACCAAAGTAATCCTGGCAGTCAGAGGGTGGGGTGGTGGTGGAGAGAGATAGGTCCTGGCTAGAAAACTCTTACTTCTAACAGGAGAGAGGTAGGTGAAGAATGGGAGGAAAAGCAATTGCAGACAAGAAGCAATATGACATTTGGAGAATTGCAGTCAGTTTAAAGTGAAGAATATGGGCCAGAGACTATGGGAGAAGGGCTAATTGAAGGATTTGGCGTAGGGAGATGGTAATATCAGCCTTTTAGAAACCTCGTTTTGGCAGCAAAGGATGAGGGGAGAGAAGACCCTTAGGAGCCTCTATTGTTAGTCTAAGCAAGAGAGATGATGGAGGTCTGAACTAAGATAGCAGTGGTGGGATGAGGGTGCTATATTTCATTGATTGTAAGATGTACTTTTCTTCCCCCACATTTTAATATCTCTGAAACCTGGATGCTCCTAAAAGTCAATGACATGTCATAGTTTAAGTGGCAACAATTTTTTTCTTTCATAGAGCTACATAAAATAATGGTGTGTCTTACGATGGATGGCATCTTAGATTTGATGAAGTATGGCATTTTGAGAGTACAATAGATTGCCATCTAATAAGATGTGGGGGGATGAGTGAGAGGAAAGAATAATTTTAAGATAATGCTTGAAAATTTCTGGCTTGAATAGCTGTATGGATGGTGGGGATCTACTCAACAAAATATGGAAGAGGGAGACATCCCTGATATTTTCCAGAATAATTAGCAATCTATATTTCCTTCAATAATCCACTGTGTTGGCCCTGCCCAGGTTCACTGGGTGGAAGTAACAGCTGACTATACCTCCCTTTCTCTGCCCTAGGGGTCTGGAAGGAGTGAAGGAAGGCTTGCTTTGGTTCTTATCTTCTCAAGTTATTATACGTCAGTCCATAAGCATTGAGAGTATTGGTGGTGTAGATACAAAGTATTGATGTTGTAAATACAAAGATGATAGTGAGCTTTTATTCTGCCAAGCATATCCATTATCTGATTTAATTTTCACATAACCCACCATTATGAGGTATATAGTATTCCTGTTTTACAAAGTGGAAACATCTGCTCAGATTAAGCAACTGGCCGATGGTTATACAGATAGAAAGTGGTAGAGGTCAGATTCAAACAGTCGTGTTTGATTCAAGTCTGACCATAACCATAACCCTGTTTTGGCCGACTAAGACAGTCCTAGAGGATCTCAGCGTAGAGGTATAAAGAAGTTAATATACAAAAGTGATAGAGTAAGGTGTGCATATGGGATACTATAGGAGTAGTGCACTTGAGTGTTCAGTGATGAGCAGGCAGAGGATGTGTTATCAGGGCCCAGAGAAGTTAAATAACTTACCTAAGGTCACATAACTGTAAGCAGTTGAGCCCATGTCTCTGGCACTAAAGCCCGTGTGCAAAACTCCCATGCGCAGGATAGGGTTCCTCCTCTTAAGGAGCTGGAGCTTGGCAGGAAGGAGCTACTAAGTGCCTGTGGTAATTAGACTTGTGTAGTCTAAAGCAGCATTCGATTCAGTGGACTACTCCCTGCTTAAAAGCTTTTTTCTTCATTTTGCTGGAATATCACCATCTCCTGCTTTTCTCCTACTTTACTGACTGCAGCTTTTCTGTCTCCTGACACCTACATTTTGGACTGTTCTGGGGCCAAGTCCTTGGCCCTCTTTTCTTTCTCTCTGCTAGGTGATCTAATCCATTCCTGTGGCTTCACACACCACTCATATGCTGCTGACTCATACGCACGTCTCCAGCCCTGATCTCTCCCAAGTTTTGTGCAGACTTGTTTATCCAACAGCCTCACTTGACATCATTACAAGCCTAACATGTCCAAAACAAAAGTCTTGAATTCTACCCAAAAACCTGTTTCATCAAGTCCTCTCCATTTCTATCAGCACCTATCTCACACCGTTGTTGAGGCCAAAACCCTAAGTCATCTTTGACTCCGTTTGTCCTTCCCACTCCTGTCAACAAGTCGTCTCAACTATCTTCAGAACACATCCCAAATCTGACTGCTGCTCACCACTTTCACCCCTTGGTCCAAGCCACCAATATCTCTAGACTAATGCAGTAGCCTCCTAACCCTCCCTGCCTCCATTCTCATCTTCAGTCTATCTCCACAGAGACTGTTAGCATCATCTTTTAAAAATATATCTGGTCACAACACCTCTACATAAAAATGATCCAAGAATTTCTCATTACACTTAGAATAAAACTCCATAGTTCTTGCCAAGGTTCTCTGTGATCTGCCATCCTCAGCACTCACCATGTTCCCGCTAACCTCGCTGTTCTTAACACATCAAGCTCATTCCTGCTTCAGAGACTTTACATTTGCTGTTCCATCTGCCTGGGGACATTTCCCCAAGATCTTTGCATGGTTTGCATCATCTCATCAGCCCATATTAGGTCCTGGCTCAAATGTGATTTCAT